CCTGTTTATGTCAGAGGAAAACTGTGCCCAGTAGGATTTTCCTTTTTTTTCCCTCACCCAAGTTAAAAGGTGTCTCTCCTCTAGTTAGTGGTTTCCTGTCTTTCCCATACACCCCTGGTAGCCATCAAAGAATACATTTTTTTGTGTGTGAAACCCTTTTTCTTGACTTTTTACCATAGTGGTACTTGTCCTTTCGTGATTGACTAACTTCCTTCAGCAGAATGGGCTCTGCGTCCCTCCATGTTATTAGATGTTTTGCAGATTCATCATTGTTCTTGAATGTTGCGGAGTATTCCATTGTGTGTATGTGCCATGGTTTGTTGATCCCTTTCTCCTTTGATGGGCATTTAGATTGTTTCCATCTTTCTGCTAAGTAATGCCATGATGAACATGGGTGTATCTGTTAGAGTCACCGCTCTTATTTCTCTAGGATTTATACCTAGTAGTGGGATTGCTGGATCATATGGCATTTCTATTTCCAGCTTTTTAAGGAAGTGCTGTGTTGTTTTCCACAGTGGTTGCACCATTGTACAGTCTCAAGGTCTGGTCTTTTTCAGGATTTTGAATTTTGTTCTGTATTTCTTCTCCCATTCTGTGCAGGACCTTCTGAGGGCCCAGTCAAAGCCATCAGTAGTGGAGGCTGGACACCTGGCTCTGCTGGCCTCCGGGTAGTGGGGGCTGTGGGTTTTGAATTCCTCTGGTCCTTTGGGCTGATTGTTCCCTTGAGTCTCTGATTTCCTTCACTCCTCTTTATTCCAGGTGAGGAGAGACCAATCCATCCAGCTTTTGATTTTGAAAAATTTCAAGTCCATAGAAAAGCTGGAAGAATGAGTGTGACTACCATATGCCCTTCACCTAGATTCACATTTTTAGCTCAATATACTTCTTATTTTTAAATCCTAAAATGATGGAACCTGAATTTCCAAAGCATTCCTTTTCTGAAAATCTCAGTGTGCTTCTTAAAGGCCCTTGTTGCCACTGAAAGTGGTTTCCAAGCCTAGTAACCAAGAACTGCCTGTCATTTCTTTGTTTGCAATGCTAATCTTCTAATGGCTTCGGTGATGGTTTTAATTTTTCGGACATTGTACTTGACCCATGTTGAACTTGTCTCTCACAACAGCCTGAGTCCTTTCCTAAGTGGGTTTTGTTATGTGCTTCTTCTGTATGTCAAACACTTTGTCTTGGGACTTTTGGTAACTTTTTTGAAACTTACGGAGTAGGTTGTTGATGTTGATGTTTCTTCCGTGTGGATTTATTGCTCAGCTGGCTTCATGTTTTGCCACAGAGTGATTTGCCCAGGATCAAAATGGAGATCGAAGCTTTGAAGAACCTGAGACATCAGCACGTGTGCCAGCTCTACCATGTGCTAGAGACTGCCAACAAAATATTCATGGTTCTTGAGGTTAGTAGTTTATTCCAGACACCTAGAAGCATTTGGCCACTTTATCAGTACCAAAAAAATTCACTGCCATTGAGTCAGTTCTGACTCATAGCAAACCCTCCTTGGGTTTTTGGGGCAGTATCTCTACGGAAGTGGATTG